CTTTCTCCCTGAAGAGTAGCACAATTAACGTCAGAGAACACAATTCATGGATCACATATACTGCAGATGATTCAATGATGAAGCTACGGAAGGCATTCTGAATAGAATTCCTAGGCAAGAAAAGTGAGTTCTATCCAAGTTACTCCACCTTCATCCCACCTATCAGTCCTATGTATGTGGCCAAAAAAAGCAAGTTTGACTCAGAATCTAGAATTGCAATTCTTTAGATACAAACTGATCTTGATGAAAAATTTCACAAAAGTCTGATCAGACTTTGAGTTACGTAGGTAAGTTCATGTGCGCATGAATGTTTATTAGCACCCCTATGCCAGGCACAGAAGGGATTGTAGACTTCATGAATCGGACCCGTTATGTGCGTTCACAACAGTGAAATACTATGATCACAGCAGGACAACATAAAGGGCTCATGAAAAACTCTGGAGGCTCATTTAGCTCCAGCATGTCCTGCCACTTTCAAAAACCTTTCCCACAGCCTCCTGTGAACTCAGTTGTTCCAATCACCTTCTAAAATGCAGACAGTAATTCCCTTCTCCTCAGCCAGAATGCACTTTTTACAAAAGGCACTAACACCTGATGTAATTAGTAAATAAACCCCCATTCACAAATTCTGTTGCCAGCAAGGCTCCAAGGTGGCTTCAGTTCAATGACAAATGAGCACCAACTTTGCTACTCATACATGAGGTCACTGTGACAGAACTTTCTTCCCGATGTGGCTCCTCTGATGTTGAGTGAGGTATGAAGTTCGGATGAAGCCTTTTCCACACGTGTCACACTGATAGGGCTTCTCACCAGTGTGGATTTTTTGATGTTCAATAAAGCTTCTATTCTGAGTAAAACTTCTGTCACACTCATTACATCGGTAAGACACAGGAGTTTCGGCAGTTTCCCACTGGCTTTCCATCTTGGCCTTTCCTACCTCTCCAGGCTCACTTCTATCACCGTGGACCCTCTGGTGTCTCAGGAGATGTGAACTCCGCCTAAAAGCTTTGCCACACATGGTGCACTGGTATGGCTTCTCCCCAGTGTGAATTCTGTGATGTTCAAGGAGACTGCAGCTTTGGCTGAAGGTTTTCCCACAGTCCTCACACTCGTAGGGCTTCTCTCCCGTGTGTGTTCTCTGGTGTTTGATAAGGTGTGAACTGTGACTAAAGGCCTGCCACACTCTTCACATTCATATGGCTTCTCACCTGTGTGGACTCTTTGGTGAATGACGAGGGCAGAGCTTCCTATGAAGGCTTTCCCACACTCCTCACACTTGTAGGGTTTCTCTCCAGTGTGGATCCTCCTGTGTTTACTCAGGCCAGAACTTTGGATCTTTTATTTATTTATTTATTTATTTATTTTTTTTGCGGTACCGGGGATTGAACTCAGGACCCTGTGCTTGCCAGGCAAGCACTTATTCTACTGAGCTATCTCCCCGGCCCAGGCCAGAACTTTGGGCAAAGCTCTTTCCACATTCGTGGCAAATGTGCCGCCTGCTCCCCGTAGCATTTTTCTGCTTTGTAACTTGTCCTCCTGTTCATCAGCTTTGACATAAGCAGGAACTTGGGCAGTGTCCTCACCCAGGTGGCACAGAGTCTTGCCAGGCTCTTGTCCTCGACACTCCTCAGCTGGACACGTGCCCCTGATCTTTGCCTGCATTTCACCACCCGGGACTCTGCAGGAAGCCCCTCAGGTGCCACTGCATCTTCTCCACAGCTGTCTCCCCGGTCAACTGAGTCCTGTGAGGGCTGGGATCGCCACGCTGCGTGCTTGGGCAGAGGCTTCACTGCCTGGACATGGGCCCTCTGTGACCTCTGAGCCGCTGTCACCAGTCCCGCCTTGCAACCCAGAAGTGCTGGTCCCCGGTCACGAGACCCGGGCCTGCAGCTCTCCGGGCAGGATGGCCAGAAACTGCTCCAGCACCAGCAGCTCCAGGATCTGCTCCTTGCTGTGGGTCTCGGGCTGCAGCCACTGGTGGCAGAGCTCGCAGAGCCAGCTCAGGACCTTGCGGGGGCCAGCAGCCTTGAGATAACAGAAGGTACGGAAACACAGTCGCGCATGCTCTGAGCCCAGCACACTGTTCTCCTCCACCAAGGAGGTGGCCTCCTCCTCCTCCTCCACTTTCACTACCAGAAGTCCCATTTCATCTTCTGCATACCAGGCATCCAAGGCTGCATGTTCGCTTGGTCCTCCAGCCATCATTT